GTGTTCGTCTACAGAGGAAACGTACGTGATCAATACCCCTTATTCTTTTAACGTTGCCTGAATAATAAAAAACGTCCTAAAGTTGGTCGAGTAAACGGTTGATGTCATCGAGATAACGAAGGCCCTGCATGCAGTAATGTTATTTATCCATTTGTTCGCTCGCCACGGCTTAGATTCAAAGACCTCAAAAGTCGGCGCGCTCTTTAGAGCTCGGTTTGGGCAGTAACTGGTGGCCACTCGGTTTGTGGAAGTTCTACCGAGAATACAAGACCTTCAGGTCCCCCCGGGACCCTAAAACCCACACAGATGGTACTAAATGCTGCTGAAACAGAAGAACGCTGATCCTCTACTTACGCGCGCAGCGGTTGTAGGCACCTACCAGCAGCTGGGCGGGCGTGACGGAGTTGTCGGTGTAGACGCAGAGCTTCTCCGCGGTCAGAGGGATCGTCTCCTTCAGCTTGGACGCCAGGAACATGCAGGCGGCTCCCAGGACCTGCAGGCGGCTCTTCTTGGTGGGCTCCACCGACAGGAAGCGGTCCACGTAGTTCACGGCCAGCGGGAAGACCTCCTCCTCGCATTTCTGCTCCTCGCACACCCTGCGCGCGCAAACCCGGACAAAATCAGTGCCAAAAACGCACACCGATGGGACCACCCGGGTTCCCTCGCCGGGCACCAACGAGCGAGGAGGACGCTTTTTGTGACAAATGCAACAGAGACAAAAGTGAAAGTCCATGTCTTCAAAACTTCACACGTACGATCTGACCGTCTGATATCGGCAGTGAGGTCAAACTACGCCTTTGATGTCACGTAGGCAGACAAGAATAACTAGTTGGTAGACGAGTCACTGCTTCGGTCATCGTCGTATCGGTTTCCATCATTAAATGAAAATCTCCCAGTGAGGAAACAAAGTCCCATCAAGTCGTCCTTAAAATGTCTCGTTTGCAGGAGAGAAGCGAGAAAGTGAGTCAGGAGACGCAACGTGTGACCGTTTCATGCTGACGGCACACGGCTGATCTGCAGCGTGGGAGCAATGGGAGTAATGGGAGCAGTGGGATGAGCAGTTAATGGACAGAGTCTCTCGCGCGCAGCCCGGACACACAAAACGGCACGTCGTGCATCCCGTCCCGTGCGTCCCGTGCGTCCCCGTGCGCGCGCGGTTCCACGCACACACGGGGACGCGTTACCGTCGGTGGCTTTTTTTTTTCCCGCCCCCGGTCCCGGACTCACCCTCCAGCATCCAGGTGGCCACGATCCTCCGCATGTGCGGGGCGACGTCCCTCTGCACGCATTTGAAGTAGTTGGCCGCGGGGAGGTACCGGTCCTCCTGCTCCAGCAAGGCGTGCAGGACGCGCTGCTGGAGCAGGTTGGGGTCCCGGTAGGCCCTGCGGGTGGGGGGCCGGTCCCCTTCGCAGCACAGCAGCCGGATCCATGCGTCCTTTGTGTCTCTTTGGGGGGGGGGGGACGAGTCGCGGGACGAGCGTCTTATCAGCTGACGGCCGCTGAAGTCTCAGCCGCTCCGCATGTCCGTCCCGCGATGTCCCCTGGCTGGACACTGCACGCGGGTGTCTCCTGGCGGACACTGCACGCGGGCGTCTCCTGGCTGGACACTGCACGCGGATGTCCCCTGGCTGGACACTGCACGCGGATGTCCCTGGCTGGACACTGCACGCGGGTGTCCCCTGGCTGGACACGTTGCGGGCTGCACGAGTTACGCGTGTCTCAAGTCGTCGGTGAAATGCGTCCTTGTTTGTCTCCGTTTATTCCTCCGGTCGGGCTCCGAGGTTCTTTCTTTGGGGGTCCGGTGGGGTCCGGTTGGGTTCGGTGGGGTCCGGTAGGGCTGCGGGTCTCTGCCCACCGGCCATGTGGAGCGCGTTTACCTGCTGCGCCTCTTTATGCGGTGACGCGTCAGTGCGCGTGAAGCACGACACTTCCGGCGAGACCGCCAGAATAAAAGAAGACCACGTTTTCAACTTCGCACCAATCGTCAAATATCAGTTACAACCTGTTTAACCTGTTGTGAATGTCGGATGATCCATAGAACCAAGAACACGTCCACTTTATACAACACGTGATGGTGACAGTCAACTATTAGATGTTCAATGTATTTACTCCCACAGAAGGTACACGTGGTATTAAATGAATAATACTCTTTTTTTTAAAGCAAATATCATTCATTTTGAGTGGGAAGTAGTTCAGTTCCCCCTGAGATGAGGAGGAGTCCTGCAGCTCGCAGGTATAAAGAAGCCTTTTATTGAACTAATGGGGCGATACTCATTAATCATCAAGGAAAACAATCAGAGGTATAATTAAACATGTATAGAAGACAAACTAATGCAGATCATGTTTTTTGCAGATTCAATTCTCATTAAAGACATTTTGAACCTTACACATCGATAAACCAGACAATGAGAGCGATCTGTGTTCATGCTCCACCCAGTGATCAATAAAATATTTCATAATCGATGCATTTATAGGGGGTCTACCGTGAGTCAGGACCACCTGCTGGGAACTGGCGGGTTCTTGGTAGTCGTAGTTGACTCCGCCCCCTGGTGTTTTTACACATACCGCCTTTAACTTTTGTAAGCCACGTTGCCAGCGTTGGGCGTCCTCTTGAAAGTGCATGCTGGGAGATGCTGCGGCCACCCGTGAGACACACGCTGGTGGAGAAGGACGCCCCAAACCCATCGGCTGGTCGTGGTAGTAGGAAGACGGAGACGGAGAGTTCCACGCCGCCGCGTCTTCCCCGACTGTGGGGAGTGAACCCTTCACCTCGGTTTGCCCCCCGGGGTGGCCGGGGTCCCGGGTCACACTCTGGCCGCCGGGCACAATAGAGGCCTGTAGATCCCGTTGACGCGTCTTGATGGATCCCTCTCACAATGGCGACGGATTCCGCGGCGATCAGCTTCAACGTTACAGGACGGAGCTTTAAATGTTCCGCGTCGCATTCCGCCAAACCTCCAATACCTCGAGCGGGATGCAGGTGGAGCAGGTGGGGGCTGAAGGAGACGGGCTGATGGGGGGGGGGGGGGCGTGAACCCGGCGGCGGCGGCGCGGAGCTGAAAGATGATGTGGTCCAGAGGGCACACGAGGTCCTCCAGTGATGAGAATCTGACCGTCCTTCACTCGGGACAGATGAAAAGACATGGACCTGACAAAGGGAGGGTGATGGATGAAGATGGCGGGTCACTCGCTGGATATTTAAAATAAAGCTGGTGGAAAACATGAAGATCTTATTCATGTGACGCAGAATGAACCGGATGACGTCCTGTAACTTCTCACGTACTTCTTGTATGCAGTCCATGGATCTATACCGATAACTAGTATGCTGAAAAATAGATCTCGACCCCCCCCACTGTGCTGTGTTTCCACGGGGAGGGGGGAGGAATTGTTAGCGACTCTCAGGCTCTTCATGTTCCGGTTCTGAGGAGAAGATGTACGTTTCTCTTTGGTTGCCTGATCAAGAGTTAAACTCCAGCAGCAACTGTGCCCCAAACCTCTAGATCCCGTCTTCTCCAAACCCCCTACCAACGAGAGATCGTTCACAGTGGGGGGTCTGTGGGACGTCCCGTTACCTTCAGCCAGCTCCCCGTGCTCCTCTGGTCCTGTTCCGCTTTCCTTCCTTCTATCAGCATGAGCTGAACAATGTTCATTTACTGTCTTATGGGGAGAAGAAAAGCTTTTTAACTCTCGTACACGTGTGACGTCGCTACCGACCCTGAACCCAAAGCGTCTCTGTTAGAACCAGAAGCAGGAGTTGAAAGAAGAGAAAGAGATGGTTTCTCACAGACGCTTTTCTAAACCGAGGGTCCGAACACAATGGGCCACGATGAAAAGACGGATAGAGTAATTGTCCTGTTAAGTGATCCGAAAGACCGAGGGGGGGGGGGGGGGGGGGCACGGCATACTGAAAGGCCAAGGGTGCTAACAAGAGGAAAAGACCCCAAGACAATACACAACTCAGTGGAGGGGGGGGGGGGGGGCCCTCGCCTGGTCTCCACCCACCCCCAAAGACACGGCGGGAGGGAGGGGTGGGACGCCAGGGGGCCCGAGGGTCCCGATGTGGACAGGCAGTGTGGTCCACCAAGCGTCCCGTGAGAAGAATCCCGTCCGTCCTCCGCGAGGTTCCTTGGCGCTGAATCACTTTGCTGTGTGTGTGTGTGTGTGTGTGTGTGTGTGTGTGTGTGTGTGTGTGGTGTGTGTGTGTGTCAGGGCGTACCTTTCAAAGATACTTATCTGGATTCTGCGGAACTTTAACCACCCACATTCCTCAGATTCCTGCTTTCCTCAACTCGTTCCGCCGCTCGGAGACTAAAAACTGAGAAACATCACAAGAAAGGATGTTAATATACGATATATAAAACACTAATAACGTGACAGAATACAGCGAATCACAGATTGGTTGAGCTTTCTTGTATGTAACGTGGCTGCATAAATGATGTAACATATCTGACGTGATGCTGTAACATCAGCACACGACGTCTGCTGCCTGAAATATTTAGTAAATGGGGATTTTTCTTTGTTTTGGTGCCTTTGTTCCCGCCGAGTTTGATGTTTTTTGATGAAGAGCGCGAAGGAGCTTCTCTCCTCCCAAAACTGCAGTTCAAACCGGCAGCGACAGGAAGGGGGGGGGGTGTGACCCCTGACCTTTCGTCTCTCTGTCGAACCCTTGACAGCCATGAATCCAGGAGCTGAGAGAAAAGCATGGCTGGAAAAACCCCCCCTCCTGGCTTCCTCCTGCTGCCCCCACCCCCTCCCTCTTTCTGCCCCATCACCCCCCACGTCCCTCCCCTTTCCCAGTTTGACTTACCCCAGACTTTGGATTATTACAACGATGATGAACCAAATCATGGAATCCACGCAGTGTTGTAGTAAAACCACCTGGGGTTCTTCATGCTGTCGCTCTGATACCATCTGATTGGAGAATCGATCCATCAGCCGCCCGTTGGTTTGCGTCTCCAGCTAATGGCAGATGGTAGATCACCTTTTTAGGCCTTTTTGAGCTTGATTATGAAATATTCAGTGTATTTGATGCTTTTGTTACCTTCGCATGTGAAGAATTCTGACACTTTACAGGACTCAGAGGTTCTCAGGGTCCTCGGTTCGTTCACGGATGCTGATGACTTACGCAGGACGCCAGACGTTCTGAGACGTGGTCGGAGACACTGACACAATGTGCTAAAATCAACAGGAGGTTACGGTGCAGCTCCGTCACTGCGATCGGCGTAATGCAACAGTCCACATTGCGTATGGTCCTCGTCCATAATCCTTAAATAAACAATAGGATTAATGCCGCGCAACATACGGTTGGCATCCTAAAGTCTCCGGCTCGGCCCCCGTCTCCATAAACGCTGGTTCCTCTTGGCCCACTTACAGAACAATAGGTGGACTAAAGGTCACTGTGGGAAGAGAGGGTGGAGCTGGAGGGACGGGTGAGGAGAGCTGGGAGCTAGAAGATGGACGGGGGGGGGGGCATAGTTGTCTGTACTTATCAATCGTCCTAATCTTCCAGTGACCCCGTGACCCTGGGTCAGCGTTTCTGGGTCCATCAGATTCCCGGCAGGGAGATGAATCTCCATGAATGCAGCGGTAGCTGCAGCTGGTTAGCTAACGCAGCCCCGCACGTCTTTACATGTCTCTGTTTTCCGTATCGCTGGCGCATGCTTCAGCCCGTTTTTCTCGTTTCATTTTGGCGAATGGGTTTTTGGTGCGGCCTGTTATGCTTGTCGTTGCGCAGACAAAAGCGAGCCGGAGTTAAAACGCACAAGCTGAAAGCGAAAATGAGTCACGCGGGTTGAACCGTCGGCTTGTGTCTCCTGGACTGTTATTATTTGATGTTATCAGTTCCCTGGAAAGAACCTCCTCATGAATGCGTCACACTGAGCACGAGAGGTGTGTCTGTGTGACATATTGACACTTTAATACGTCCGGGTGTGATGTTATTGTCTCATTTGAGTGACACGTGGCCCCCCTGGATCGGGTCTAGCGTTAGCATGAAACATGGTGGAATTATAAAAGGTGGTGTGCACATGACGTCATAGTGTGGCCGGAATCGTCCCCTCAGGAAGTCCCTCGTCTCATGAGCCGATGGACGTGGCGCGGCCGTTTCCAGCCAAACTGTCCCCCTTGTTTGTGCCCCACTTTCTTTCCTTGGCGGTGTCGACGCGGACGTGTGAGCTGAAGGCTGAGAGGACGTAGAAGAATGAGCCTTCTCCTCTCGCCGCGATCAAAGACAATGACGCAGCTGATGCCAGCTGCCCGCCTGGCAACCGGCCTGGCTTGTGCCATGTAATTTGGGCAAAGTCTTGTAGTTGTCCAATGAACCATGGCTAGCTTTGCCTTGCTGAATAGCCTGTTTCATAAACATGTTCTGAAGTCTATCTGTCGTACAAGAAGCTCTACGTGTTTGTCATCTGTATTTAGCAAGAAAGTTAATGCAGATTATTATCATTCATCTCATGTTCTCAGGAGAGACTCACTGCTGCTCCACAGCAGGTGCTGCCTCTGTCTCTCTCCTCAAAGGTCCCATACAGTAGACCTCATACAGTAGACCCCATACAGTAGACCCCATACAGTAGACCTCATACAGTAGACCTCATACAGTAGACCCCATACAGTAGACCCCATACAGTAGACCTCATACAGTAGACCCCATACAGTAGACCCATACAGTAGACCTCATACAGTAGACCCCATACAGTAGACCCCATACAGTAGACCCCATACAGAAGACCCCATACAGTAGACCCCATACAGTAGACCTCATACAGTAGACCCCCTACAGTAGACCCCTTATAGTAGACCCCATACAGTAGACCTCATACAGTAGACCCCATACAGTAGACCCCTTATAGTAGACCCCATACAGTAGACCTCATACAGTAGACCCCATAGAGTAGACCCCATACAGTAGACCCCATACAGTAGACCCATAGAGTAGACCTCATACAGTAGACCTCATACAGTAGACCCCATACAGTAGTAGACCCCATACAGTAGACCCCATACAGTAGACCCTATACAGTAGACCCTCATACAGTAGACCCTATACAGTAGACCCCATAGAGTAGGACCCCATACACTAGACCCATACAGTAGACCCCATAGAGTAGACCCCATAGGGTAGACCCCATACACTAGACCCCATACGGTAGAGCAGGTGTGCCTTCTGACGCCATGCGGCCCTCCTGCCTCTCATGGACACGTCTCCCCGCCTTCCTCTAAGTCCATGACGTAAACATGGTGGACTCAATCTCTGGTTGATCATATGATGCTCTATTAGCGTCAACAACACCAGGATGTGTTTACTGTGATTGACAGGTTACTCTGCCGTGATTCTAGTACAGTTACTTCTATGTGGACATATGCATCTAAATCCTGTCCAAACAGCTTCATGTATTTACCTTATTGCCAATACGACACACCAGTCACCCACAATATTGCATTTCTTATTGTTTAATGTATTATTGAAGTATCTATGAGTTGTCTTTTTTTGTCCTTGGGTTAACGTGTAGTTGTTGTACAGTATCACCAATAAAGACATGAGAGGAACTCCAGTGTGGAACATTTGAACGGTTGAACTTCTCTCCTTTAGAAGAAGATAGGTCCACGCGTTCTGCTTTTCTCGTACCCATCATCTCCCTTTTTCCTCCCTTCTCAGCCCATCGCGGCGTTCTTCAAGCCAAGCGGTGCTGCCTCTTTGTCTCCCCCCCCCCTCCCCCAACGCCCCGATCGATCTGACAGCCCTCGGTCCTCCGGCGGCATAATGGCCGTCGACGTGCACAGGAACGCAAACTGACTGGGCCGAACAATGCCGCCACACAAGGACAATACGGGCCAGACAGATTCCACTGAACAATGGCGTGTGCGATGTACACACACACACACACAGGATGCAGGTCTGCGTTTAAGTAGGCCAAATGATTCTTTGTTCATCACATTACGGTCATTTGCATTCCACACAGCATGGATCCAATTGATTTACAGCCGGGTGTCAAATTTGGAGGCTTTGTGAAAGTTCTGAGTGATTCTTTACATTTAGTCTATTGGAGACTGTTGGATTAAGTCTCACAAGTGAAGGTGTCGCACTAGTGATGGATGAATGACTTTGAGTTTGATTATGTGCCACAAACTGGCCGGAGTCCCGTGTCGTGGCTTCAGTTTTCTCTTTGAACGAAAGCCATTTAAAGCAGCATTACAGGACAGTATTTACACCCCTCAGACTTGCAGAAAATCCGTGGATTAGCATTAAATAGAAGATGGAACAAAGGCCTGTGCTGGATTACGTCACAGTGGAGCATCCTCCTCTGCAGAAGGCGACAGCGTCCAACACTTGTTGCATTGAGTCGCTGGAACAAAAATGCCGCTGGAGGCCCGATGACTGACGTTCCTGCTACGAAGAGAAGCACCAATTATTACCGTTACGTCATTTGGATTAACACAACAAACGCTGACTACTGTCCAAGAGCCAAACTGTAAATCTACTTCGTTTAAGCATCTTAATTTGTGTTTTGACATTAACCCCGGACGCAGTGAACGGAGGGAACAACCAAACTGCCAGTGAGTTACAATCAACTTTCATCCACCGGATGTGTTGGGAAATGTTCTCTCCGAACCAGAGAACACTGTGGTGGAGACCTGTCCAATCACGAGGTAGCCCCGCCCTAAAGCATACTCTGCTCTACGGCCTGTTTGACTGTAAATGGAGCAGAACTATCTGAGACCTCGTGCTGTGCTGATGAGGTCGAAGGAGGGATTGAGACGGTAAAGTTAACAATGTTTACTGAAGGACTTCTGCACCAACCTCCTCCCCTCTGACAGAGATTAGTACATGATGAATGATTATCGTGGACATAGTAGAAGGTTATTTAGCCCAACAATGATTATACACCCCTAGCAGGATTGTCTACGAGGAAAATACAGACTAGATGTGGACATCAAAGCCTGGCGGCCTCTTTGAACTGTGAGAACTTGTAAGATAAGGAACTACTTTTACTTTCAGTATCAGCTATCACACTGTGTTATCCAAACACTATCCAGGGAACTCAGCTTGTAAAATGTCAGAATCAGCTTGATGGTTTTCCGTAAGTAGGGTGCACGTATACGAACTCTGAATGGATGAGAACGTAACGAAACATACACATTTACATTTACTGCCAATGCTCCGTAATCACAGAAATGTCCCCTGTTTCAATGAGATCACCTCCTCTAGCGCCACCCTCAGGACAGAAGTGTTGCATTGGGTTCCTGCTCCGTCATCTAAGCGATGGGGGGGAAGTGGAACACGCACAGACGCAGTAGGATGACACACTTCCAGTCTCGGCGAAGCACCTGCCGCTCTAGTGAGCCCCACGAGGGACATCTGGTCCTTTCAGTAAACCAGGACAGCTTATTGTGGGATGTACTGAGGAAATCTTTCCCTGCTTTACATCTCAATAGATCTATGCTGTGCTGTTTGTTCCTCCCGTCTGCTTTATGGTGAGGCTTGGTAATGCTGTATCTGTGTTAAGTTCCATGACCTTGTTTCCTGAAATATTAACCACACAATCACACTTCATAGTTCAGTTGTTCCAGTGTTTTGTTTTATGGAAACTGTGACAAGGTGGAGAGCAGGGTCACCCTTTAATCAGAGGTCCTTGGACACTTTTCTAGTGTCCAAGTGTCCCTGGACAAGACACGTGACCTTAGGTTGCTCCAGTCTGTGACTTTGGTCTGGATCTTAGTTACTGATGGCAGATGGTCCCGTGTGCTACAAATCATTCACACGGCTGTGAATGATTTCTTGAGGAAGTGCAATAAAACTACAGTTCATGTTTCTTTTGTACATTGAATAAATCATCATCAATCGTAGTACTTCCAGGGTTGAAAATGAACTATAATTAAAACAGAAAATCATTCAAATCAGGTTAAAAAATGTAGCTCTGTGTGTCTCTTCCACAGACTTCTCCACAGCCACACAATTCGGATTGCTATCAGTTTCACATCAGTCTTTCCTGTACAGAGATTAGTAGGATGTGTTTATCTGCACAAAGACCAGAAGCTGTGGCACGACTGCTAGCATAGCTCCATCAACATGGCCTGGAGGTCAACATTTATTGTGCTTAAGATGAGCTAAACACACAAACTATACCTTTATTAGTACTTATATATCCTGCGTGGATTAAGACAACAACACAACATTAGCAACACAACAAGCAGCTATTGTTGTCAGGTTGGTGATGACATACCGTGTGTCTACCCGACGCAGTTCAATTAAAAGTGTCACATCAGAGATTCAGAGCATCACGGACAAAAAAAAGACAAAAGATCAGGAGGGCACCAGGCCCAGACGGCGTGTCACCCTCCTGCCTGAAACCAGCCGGCCACCGTCTTCAACCGGCGACCGGAGCCCGGTCAGGTCCCCTCCTGCGTCGGACCCGGATGCAAGACGACCGTCCAGGCAGTAGATTGTGTTCATTCTACAGATCTCACACGCAAAGCAGTCCGAAGCTGCCCCCCGGGACACGCCGGACGGAACATGGATAGCGGTTGGTGTGGTTGGGGGACAGAAGGTTGGGCAAGCCGGGGAAGTCCTGACAGGAAGGGTTGGCCACAGGAAAACAGTGGGAGGGTAAGTGAGGTAAAATCCTGGCATACCGCGGAGAACGATCCGGCATCGAGTGACTGGGGCTTAATACTGAAGTACAGTGCGGTGGACGGGTGAGACTAAAGAGGGAGAGGCGAAGCTGAACTGTGACAAAATGCTCCACCATCACCCCCGAGAAATCCCCCTTTACGGGATTGAAGGACTACAGGCCTGTCAACCTGTTGTCTAAGGTCACCTGAAGAACATCAGCGGCCCCTGTTGGGCCCCCTGCAGTTCGTCCACCAAGTAAACAGGCCTGTGGATGATGCGGTCAACATGCTACATCACCTCCACTCACCAGGGACATACGCACGGATTCCGTTTGGGGACTT